TTATGTCGCCCAACCAGCACATTCTTTTGGAATGAGGGTCAGCGGTGCAGGGGTGATAGTTGGAGAGAATGGCGGCGCGCATTGTCAGAAATTTTACGATTTTAATTAGGGTGCACTCATATTTCGTTCCAGCGATGCCAGATGGCATGTGCAGTGTGAATTTCTTCACAAATGCTTTTATTATAAGTACAAAGGAAAGGCGAGCGAAACTTTTTCATTCTTCTGGTTCATATCGTGTCTTCTACAGCTACGTTTCGTTGAGTTCCGCAGTAATAGTATTTCCATTCTTCCTGTGATTGTCCGCAAAGGGGGTTGGAGCGGTGACGACGAATGCGAGCCCGAAGCTTTGCCGAGTTTTGCCGAAGCACACGCTGCATTGGCGAAAGTGAAGTCGTTCTTTTATGCGCTTAATATTAGTGAACGTGACGAAGAAAACATTTTGAACGTGGAAAGGGCTCTGTTTGGCCTAAAACGTAAAGTTTCGACAAACCAGTTGTCCATTAAAGACTTTTTTGGTAAAAAGAAGTAACTTTGAAAGAGAAACATTGTTTTTTTTAAATTTTTAATGCTTTCCCGAATCTATCGTTTTCCCGCATTCATCGTTTTTATTCCCCCCCCCCGCCGAAAACGATGCATCGAGGTTTCACTGTATATCCATTACATGTTAAAGACAATATTATTTTCAAGAATTATACGCTGTAATTTTAAGGCAAATTATTTAATATATAAAACACTGTTCAATTTTTTCTTTCTTCAATGTTCACATTTAATATGTTATCAACACTGATTAATTTCTCAAGATAAAAATTTCACTTCTCTTTATGCAGTGCAATAACAAGAAACTGCATTTAATTCAAAAGACATACAAATGTACCTAATTCATTCCAAGTAGAAAGCATTATCATACATTTCAATCAATATCCTACTCAAAATAATTATAAATGTTCATATACACCACACAATAATGTACTACTTAACTTCCAAATGTGAAAGTAACACAATGTCAATCATTAACTACAAATAAGTTCAAGATCTACCATTCCCTGCCTACTTTTACTCATTTAACTGACAGAAAAGAGTAATGCTCAAGACAGCATGCCAAATATACAAATACACCGTAAATGTGCAAATGATAATGTGCTTTACTATCTATTAGTATCTTCATGCACAAAAATGAGTTTGTTGATGTCAGTGTTCTGGGTAGTAACACCATGTAGACTTGTAGGTACATACCAATGTTTCAGAGAAACATTATGCCCCTATTCACAGCTGTTCCTCCAAAATATAGGTATCTATCTACCTGAATGTCCAAACAGTGTTACTATCCAGAAGAACAACTACGCCACTGTGATACCCTCAAATATAATTTACTTCAGAACATTTAAAAACACTAATTCTCAAACTTACACTATTATCCTTATGCATGTACGGTAACCCTCGATTTGTGCCGATTCAGAATAACGCCGATTTTGAAACCACCAAGTCAAAAAGTGTAAAAATTTATTTTACTATTATTTATAACATTTTATAATGTATCTCGTACTGATTCTTATAATAAAAAGTAATTCTTACATCGCTGATTTTGAATAAAAATTATAAATAAAGTCATCTCTGCAATTATGTATGTTTCATTAACGCGAATTTGCTCCAATGAGATCGATGAATTGGTAAAATCTGTTTGTGAAATGCAAACGTTTGCATATGCGAGTTTTCTCTTATGCAATTTCATTCCTGGCGCTTTAAACTTTCAAAGGACTAATTTAATCTCTGCGGAGATCCCGGGGTTATTTTTACTAAGCAATTTTCTATAGGTCGGCGTCTTACATGAATGCAACTATCGCATAACAGCAGAGATGACTGTACACTTCAATCACATGAAAGAATCGCAGTCAATCACGGGGACCAACGAATTGCCGATTGTAAGTGTATAAAATATGTTTTTTAAATTCCCTTTATTTTATTTACATTTTTCAGAGCTTTAAATGTAATGCCATTATATTACTCGTCAATGTTTGGGTGCTGGGAATGCATGTCATTGACTTCCCATTGATTTACATTATAAAAAGAGTTTCAATTTACGCCGATTTCGTTTAACCCGGTTCGTCCAAGAACGCATCCCGGGCGTAAATCGAGGGCTACCTGTATATGTAAAATACTGACAAGTATGAACATACCAGTATGTTCAGTGTCGCAGTGCTGAGTGAAGTATAAACATACCTGTGCATTTTCCAAATTTGTTTTGCTGAGGACTATAAACTTCTGATATCTACTGGGGACTGATATCCTTTATGCTTAGTTTCTTACACTTAACCTCACCAAAAGTCATATAAGTGAGGGGATTTTACTGTAAGGGTCAAATAGTGCCCCAACAAATTCTAGTTCCAAGGACAGGGTCTGAGAGAAATGTATAATATGGATTCCACTCCTTCAAAGAAAGAAGAGGGGTCCAGTACGACTAACTGAATGATCAAGTCTTTTATTAATATTTTTATTATATTTATATTGTATTTTATTATTAAATAATAGGTTTTCTATTTTAATCTTTAAGCTTTCAGACAGGAGACAGGTAGATTAAAGAACTTAACTTGTTTGCAGCAGACAATCCCTGAATTTAATATACCCTTAAATTCTTCTATTTGTAATTTGATTTTTTAATGTAATTTCCAAATATTTTAATTTTGCCATAGTACCTTCGTATTATGATTCTGTCCTGCATTCTAGTGACAAGACATAGACATAAATAAGATAAAAGAGATCGCAGGGCTGTTCTCCATTGCCTAGAATGTGCTAAGAATGTGTTCCAAGCTTAACTTTCTTTTATGCTGAGGTGTTACAAGACCAATACCCAAACACAAAACTAGAGGACTACCCCTTGTTTATTGTCTGCAAATACCTATTAACTACATTTGCAGCTAGCCTCCAAGACTGGAGACCATTTCCTCCATCTGTAACCTGAGAACTATAAACTCCTCTGACAATTCTTTATAATCCTACGCAGGATTTTATTTAGATTATGACGAAGTTGAGAATCATGGGCTAAACGATTAAAACAAGTACAGCTGTACACATGAATTATGATAAATTATGTACCATAATATCTTCAGAACTTGGGACATAGTGGTACCTCTAATTTCTCTAGACCTATTGCTGTGTTCACGATATGTAAATTAATGAACAACACCTAAGTTGTTAGTCTACTTTCCATTCAAAAGGAAATAAAGATTTATGTCCCAATTCTTAATTTCCTACAACCAGTAAAATCAACAAATCTGTGAGGTGAGAGCAACACAAGAACCACTTAATGCAAGATACTGAATGACGTATGGCAACAGAGCTTAAAAAAACTGCAGTTTTTATTTTATCAAATCTATAAATGTAAGATCTGGTATAAAGAAGATCACAAACATGCCCACAAATTAAGCATAAGCTATATAAGTCCATTATTACCAATATAAATAAGGTGGAAAAGTTTAGAGGATATTCCGAAATAATTTAATGTAAATCGAATCTGTATTTCAGTAAGAAGTTATTACCAGATATAAAATACTTCTTTATGATTGCAACGAATGATGAATGGGACCCAAGTAGGATTTGCCTATATGACGATGTGCGCACAAGTCCAGCATTTTAACTCATAAGCTAAAAATTACATGGTACTGTTAGATAACAAACTTGAAATATCTAAACACATCAACAATTTGTATGACTATAAAGATGAGCAGTAGGAAAGTAGGTTTACTGAGTTCTGCCCAGAACCCCTTGTTTATATTGCACATTTATATTACTTCTGCTGCTTAAAATCATGCACATGCATTCAAATTACACTCACTCCATGATCAATGACTTTCCTAAACTCCTTCCTATCCCAAAAGTTGGAAGTTGTGCAGAAAGACAGACAGAGCTACAACACTGTAACACTCTAAAACTGTGTTCATTCCAGTTCCTCATGCACTGTAATGCTAGGAATATCGTGCAAATGATAGTATTCAACTATCAATAAACATATTTATTACCATTACCTAATTTTTATTATCATGCATTTATTCCAATCCAGTTTCTACTTACGAATAATATACTTCACTGTCCTAAGTCCAACAACACATACCTCAAATTACTGTATTTGCAAGAGGAAGCATACCTGACTGCTACTAATTGGTTTAACTCTCACATGACAATCACTGCTACAGTGCAGCTGTCACTGGACAACATGTCCGGTTCTTCACTTAAGAATATAATAAAATTTAAATAAAATATCTCCTGCTGTGCTTAATGTAATAATGTGCAGACTAAGCATTATTTTCACAACCAAAAATGGCAATAAGTCAAAATTGACTGGCATATATAAATTATATTATGTTCCTAGCAAATTTCACAATACGCGACAGAGTAAATGCTAAAGACCTTTGTCAAATTCTGTTATGGCAATACAATCTGAAATAAATTGTATCATTTTTTAATGAAACATATATTTTAACAAACTTGGACAAAGACATTTTATGTGGGATTCAATAAATGATACCTAAATCTTGAGTGGCATTATCCTTTAAGGTCATTCATCTTTTTTAACAAAAGATTATCGTCTATTGTCTTTCTGAAAAAGCGCTGTACAAGCACTAGGATGCTAGCTTGCATTGCCAATAATATGAGCATCTCTTCAGTCTTTTTGCAATCAACTGTTATAGCTGCAAAATATGTTCATAACTAAGAAGTTAAATCTTTATCAATGAAGATGGTACTGAGAAAAATCATCATTTGCTGATGTAAAGGAACTGCTAAAAGTGTTTTAAATAGGCACAAAGTTGAATATCCACACAAAACTTACACTATATTATTAGTTTCACATTTCGTTGTACTTCTAGTCATAAAATCATATAAATATGTTACAGTCTTCACCACCTTCCCAACCCAACCACAACCTACAGTAACAACAATAGCACCTAAAATTCAAATCACAAGTCTCAAATATTCTACAGTTCAATGCTAGTATCACCGTAACTAACCTCTTGTAACAAATCCTGGGCAGCAATTGCCTTCAAGACGTTCTTTTTGCTGGTTTCCTGGATCTCTCCACCAAGTAACAGTTCATCCAGGATAAAGTATGCTTTCTCAAAGTTGAAGATTATATCCAACTCACAAACCTAGAGGAAGATCATGAAAAAATATCATTCAAACTGCTATTTGGCTTGGGTAGTTACATATCTTATCTTTATTTATGTCTAACACCTCAAAATACAGACATTTCATGACACTTGATTTAAAAGCTAAGCATCTTGGGAAACAGGGCCTACAACAGTCACTTCTCTTTTACAAGTACATCCATATGGACTTTTATATTTGTAGCCAATGTAGAGAGATCCAAATCCAAGAGAGTCCAAAATTACAAAGTTTCCAGGCACAGGGAAGAACATAAACTTACAAAAAAAACATATTTTCAAAAATGTTTATATAGTTACAATTTACATATAAAAATTATATTTACACTATAAAACAACAGGAAGGAATAAAGTCAATTTTGGAGAGTACATAAAAACTCAAAATTATTGCAAAAAATCTAAAGGAATAGTAACAAATTCATATTTCTGGAGCCTTAGATACTGTTTAAGCCTAAGACCCATACTAAAAGCATTAATGAGAAATCAAAAAAAGAAACTGGTGAACAGTAATCAGTCAACTTATATGCTTTACTTGACTGTGTCATTCAACATTGTTTACAATAACTTAATCCTATGGGGTCACAGGAGAATGAAACCATGGAAAGTAACAATAACTGCTTATCCTACAAAATTAAAGACTAGTGAAACAATGGAATGTAGGAATAATATTTATATAGATGTTGAGTAAGAAATACTTATTTCTTATCTTGCACTCACTTTTGTAAACATACTTTCCAATGCAGATTTAATGATACTTACACTACCAAAGTATTTGTCTAGAAGCTCAACATAACGATGAATAATTTCAAGGGTCAACAGTTCATTATCCTTTTGTTCAATAGCACAACAGAAATAGAGACTAGCATATCTGGAAAACAAGAAAACATGATATTAATGGGAGACACACTTAAATAAAAGAAGTTTGTTCCTATGCCTAAGCTGCACATAGGAAGTTTTAAGGAATGCATCCTGTTCTTCACAATAATGGATCACCCTCCACCATACATAATATCTAAAAAGTGGACTAAATTTAGAGACAGCAGACCAAAAACATTATAAACCTCTTCAAAAATACAGCAATCAATATAAGTTTCAGAATGTCTAATAGTATATATAGACACTTAAAACAGACAAATATAACAAAAGTGGATTTTACTGGCTAACATGTAAGGACTGTCAAAAACATTATATAGGGCACACAGGCAGACATTTCAAAATGAGGTTCAAGGAACAATAAGCACTGAGATTAATCACAAAACTTTTTGTGTAGAAGGACTGTCAACCTAATAAGCATAGAGGAAGATATATGGAGAAGTGGAGGTACAGCTCCAAGAATTCTTAACCTATGCAATGTACAGAGGTAAGTGGTCAGATTTATGCTCCATGACTATGCCAGATGACATATTAATGGAACATACCACACTTTACCTGTAGAATGTTATAATATGGCAAAGTAGAAAGCACTGGATATGCGAAATGTTAACTGTACAAGGAATATATATATATCTTAATAAGTGGAACAGCTGAGACTTAATCATGGAAAATTCCTGACCCACACCATCTCAGTTAAGGATTGGACTTCAATAAGAGGATATAACATTTCTGTGCAATGATAAAGTACAAATAAATAATCCAAGAAATTCTAGATTTATGAAAATATATGTACCTTTTATAAACCACTTTCAGATCTTTCCATTCAAGGAAACTGCTCATTTTTGGTTTCCTTGCCAAAATTGTGGTAATTAACTCTCTTGTGATTTTCTTCTTAAGCTTGTCTGGATGGGCCACATACCACTTCTGAAGACGTAACTTGCCTTGTCGGCTAAACAGCAACATAAACTGCATCTGAAAAGCAAGTATGAAGTCCTTCAGAAATAAGATGAACTGAGAGGAACCAATCTCTTATGCCTATTTTGTTTGCAAAATGACTAACTGACAGACAGTCTCTCAGTCAGACCAACAGATAGACTCTATTAAATGCACTACAGAACTTACAACAAATATAGGATATTTGAATACCCATATTTTTGTACTTCTGCAGTAAATCTGCCACCGGGTGCAAACCCAATTGCAGTAAATAAATAAATAAATAATAATAAATTCAGTGGCAAGTCAGGTACATTAAATTTAAATTCCTTCACTAGTAAGCATAAATAATAAAAAAAAATTCTGTGACAAGTTTGGCAGTAGGTGACAAATGGGTAAGTGCTAAACAGACTTAAGAACATGATCAATTACCACCATACTGGAAAGTTGTGCGGAGAATAAACTGATCCGAATATTGTATAAACTGAATTTAGAGACAGAAATGCAAGGTCACAATGTTGGCTCTCCCATATGACCTGCCCACTTCACCCTACATTACTTATAATCACTTTAATATTTAGTAGAGCAAATTATAATGCTCCTCATTATGTAATTTTCTACAGCCTCCTGTTAATACCTCCCTCTTGGATCAAATGTTCTACTCGCCACAAGCACCTCATTCTCAAACACCATAAATGATTTCTTCTCATAATGTTAAAGACAAAGATTAAAAAGCAACAAGAATGACATTAAAAATGGAATAAGAGAAATGTACTGTTAAAGTAACGTGTTCTCCAACATCCAAATTTGTTGCTCTAAATTTAAAACAATAGTAAGTACTGTGGTTTGTTTACTATTTATACCTTAATGACGGTACGAAGCAAACATCATACTGTTTTTACAACACAGCTTCATCTCACCTGGTTTATTTAATGACACCTTGTCAACTCCAAGAGTGTGGAATCAGATGGTGGCGACTAACTTCATGGTAAGTAGGATTTGAGGTTTTCACGGCGGTCAGTTTGAAGATGGCTGTCTTCTGGGTTGTTGCTCCTGGGCCTGACGATGGAGGCAGCAAGAACCTCTGAAACGTCGGTAAATTTCTACCAGACCACACGGAACAAAAACCCAGAAGACAGCCATCTTTCAACTTCATAGTATTATTCGTGCACTTTGCTGGGCGGACTGAGGAAACCCACAAAAACATCGAAAAGGCTCATCTTCAAGCTTAGAAACCACTACACCGCGACGTTGAGAAACGCCACAATATCCAATTCATCACAAAAGAAAACGTTTAATTGTTCAGGATCTTACCTTCACCTCCTGGAATAAAATCTCAATCTTAAAGTCAACAGAATCCTTCCACTGGCACTAATATGCTGTTAACTTCATATATTCACCACCCTCAACCTAGCTACAAAACCGATCACGACATCCAACATCGTCACAAAGCCACTTACAAGAGCCAAGTTCCAGAGGCTCCACAGAATAACTTTCCATTCCACAGATTATTATCTATTGAAAGCCTTATTCACAGATACCTCATAAAAACTACTTTTTACAACTAATTAATTCCTAAGATGATATTCCACATTGTGCGTGTAATCATCAAAACTTAGGAAAAATTTAATTGAGCCATACTAACTTGAACTCTAAAATGTTGCACCTGGAGTACATGTTAGAACATCAGAAATTAGAATATTTGTCTTTGGGCTAATTAGTATGACAGCATAGACACTACAATGACTCTTTAGATGTGACCAATGGCTGGGACCCTTAGTCCCATGTAGTTATGAAATGACCAAGAGGTGGGTTGCTGTGCCCTATGTACTGTTAAATGACAGGGTAGTCAACAGAGAGAAAATACAATAAAAAAAACTAAGTTTCATGCTAAGTTATTCACATACATTTCCATACAGACACTGAATTTATAAAAAACAATATTCTAGGTCATACTGCAGAACTCTCAAATTTAATACATTTTGCATTTCATTACAAAGTGATGCTGGGTGTGTCCTGCAAATTATCACCATTGTAACTTTAACAGGACAAACATCAAAACGGAGAATGCATCACCTTAGGGATACATAAATGTTCCTTGCAAATTATTTTATTTATACAATACAATGTAATGATAATAAATCAAACCATACCAATTATATTGTCAATAACAAAATGGCCTGTTAAATGAGGCCATTTCAGACCATCATACTGAAAATATGGACTGTAGGAAAAGCAAGCCGAAAGTATCAGTTCTATTTAACTAAGTTACAAAATCAGCAAGTTCATCCTCTTAAATTCATTATATGGCATGACTGTACTTTCATAAATTTAGCAAATTATGTACAAAATTTGTCTGAGTTGACCCCAGTCTGGCATGAAAATGCAACCACATAGAAAACAAAAAACAACTTTCATACAGATCTGACTCTTGCAGCCATCCTAAAATAAAATGAAATATTATGACTAGAATTAAACAAAATTACTACAGGTCAGTCATAATGATTAAACTTTGGTTGCATAGCTCCGAAAGTAATAAAATTGTGCCTTGAACATGCATGCACACACACACACACACACACACACACACACACACACACACACACACACACACACCACTGATTTATCCTTAAAGAATCATCAGTCTTAACATCTGTCAAGCCTACAAACATGCAATATTCTTGAGATTCAAAACTTTAATTGCCACTAGTAGCCACAAGACAATACTCGGTCTCTGGACTAGACAATGTCAACCATTATGTGTATCATTATTACCTGCAGCCTGTATGTCAGTGTCCAGTGTAATAATCCACTCAAAAACAGTTTGCAGTCGGTGATGGTGAAACAATAGAAAATTTGTATGCATTCATTTATGACAATTACAAACCTATACATGGTAATTTTTAATGTCCATATTTTCTCAAAATATATTCAGACCATAAACACTATGTAGCAAGCAAATTCTTTATGATCTCAAGAAAACAGACACATGCCATGACTTTCACCTTGTTCTCCCATGTCAGGTTTTTTCATAACAGTATGTCTTACACTCTTGCAAACAGTGTCTTGGTAAGGTGGTCCTCACATTATGACACTACAAATCATAATTTTTCATAATTATAAAAGACAACTCCTGCTGCACATCACACAATTTTTCTACAGAAAACAATTGGTAGCACCTATTGATTTTTAAACAGTAGTTTTCAAATGTAGCCAAAACAGTTATTTCTTTCATATCTGCTATATGGGAGGCATAAAAATGCCCTAATTCTGACAGCTAGCCAGATGCACCACAATACGGCACACACACACATAAACAGATACAAAAAAATTGTCCTGACCTACATAACTGAGTATTTGGGTCTGAAAAGGGAAGATAATGATTAAGACTGTATTTGAATAAATATGGTTCCAATAAACAAAAATTCAATGCATTTTCCCATCATGAGATAATAAAATTAACCAATTCAAAAACTTTTAAATATGTCTTTCTGAAGGTTTGATTTTGTCAATCTTACTGAAAGAAATACTGGCATACAGCCAAAACACTACATGGCACAACAACCCACAACAAGATCATCGACATTCACATTGCCATGAAAACCCCAAATCTTACATCAATAGAAGAACATGTTAGTCTGGTGAAGCACAATATTGTCACTGACAAAATAAAGGAAAAGAAAACGTTAGCTTCTACATTACTACCCACTAAAATAAGACAACTGGGCATATTACATGTCCCTGTAAATCATATTGCAGACATATGTTGCCATGTATTTCCCCCATTTTGTGTTTTTTGCTGATAAAAACACAAAATTATCCATTATCCAGGCTACTGGATAGGAGAGAAAGTATAAGTAATCCAGAATTATTTTTTTACAGCACAATGTTGTTTCTCCAATTACACAAGTCAGTCAGTGATGATTATCACTATAGCAAAGAAACATATGGTTATGAGTGAGGGAAGGTCCATGCAGCCCTCTCTGGCTGCATTTCCTAACAGATGAGGGAGATGGTAGAAAAAAAAGCACCTGTGTACAGACCAACCTAACCAAATACAAGAAATGAGTATACATGGCATAAAATTAAAGCATCAGACTTTCTTGACAATGACGCCAGACAGTTTGCTTTCATGCTCTGGCCACATTAGTCGGCAAAGAGAAACAGCTACCCACTAGGTAGAAAGTTGGCTGAGCCCCAAATTTGTCTCAGACATGGTGGTGAAAAGAAATGTACTGCCACAACTAGAAAACAAAATTTAACCTATATGTAGCATGTCTACTGATTAGGCTATTCCAGCTCTTACAATCATAAAAAAATTAATTTAAAAGAAAAATGTGTCAACACGTAACCCAAAATATACTAAAGATGAGTATCCATTTGGTTCTCAAAGTGTGCATTTCATTTTAAGTTATATTTCTTTAAAATATTTAGACGTGATTCATTCCTTTACTCAATCATCTGATAAAGACTATAGCATTCATACCTTTTATGGTACAAATAGAACTTTATAAATTGAAAACAAATTCCTAAACTTCCATGACACATCACTCCTGCTATCAGAATATTGCAATACAAAATTAGCTCTGAAATATTTTAGACAATAATTTTACTGTACTACAAAATACAAGAGGCATCTTTTACATCATGAGATTATGCCCAATTTCACATCTGTATAGTGCATGAACCAAGATTTATTAAATTAAATGTAACAGAAACTGTGAACAGCATAAATTAGAAGCCACAAATACACATGGTTGAGACAATTTAGATTGTAAACTTTAAAGACACCATGAACTCAAAAAAGACCATATTATTATGTGGCAGAATCAAGCTGTACATAAGAGAGTGCTCCAGGCCTGTATGCAGATTCACTAATTTTTATCAGCAACATGTCAACTAGCAACATTACACAACAGAGCATCAAAATTACTTTTTCAAAGAAACTCATATAATGATGCACTGTCAACAAATATTATAATGGTAAGTAACAGCTTGATGTTGCTAAGTGAATGTAAAACAGGAATATGGTACACATCAAAAAATGAGAGCATACAATGTACAGAAACAAAGAAGAAGTACACTAGCTGTGCCAGTTAAGATATTTTGAAATGTGATAGAATTCTTACTTTGTGTGTATGTTAATTGTAAATATGCATATTAAAATACACTCACATTACAATAACACAACATTAACGTTCTATGAATATATAAACTAATTTCTAGTTCCAGCTATCATACAAAATTGGAAAACAAAAACACTAAAAGCATATCATTAAGAGAATATCATGTTTTGTGAGTCATCAGATAACCACTACAATTACATCTACAGAAAATAAAAATACATGTATCCATATGTTATTTCCTACTGGTGTACTTTGATAGGCCATAAATATCATACCTCATTTTAAACAGAATACTATGAAAAAAATATATTTGGATTAAGATTATTCAAATTAATGGCCCACAATCAGATCCACAAATCTGAGTATCTGCATTTCAAAAGTCCAAATTTAATTTAGACTGATATGCATTCTGATTAATTACATGCCTTTTGGCATATCTCCATGAGAGCATAAGTCAATGAGTTACAGCTCCAAATATCTGTCATCCAACAGTTTTGTCTTCTCCCTCAAACTAAAATTCATACACTTAATACCTGGATAGTCTAACTCAAAATCTTCATGTTATATGATGACATTTACGAGATTAAATTCAAAAGTTTATAAGTCAAATGATTTGTTTCTATTTGAGTGTTTGAAACAACATAAACCTAAGAAATTAAAAACACACCACTCTGAACATTGTTAATTATCTGTTTTTAGAACATTATTCTACTTTCTGCACGTACCAGGAATTATTTCTTCCCCTCCTCCCTCCACAGTCACTGTCCACATATCAAGTTAAACAACCACATGTATAGTGTCTGCACAGGTGTTCTTTATGTTAAAAGACAGAATAGCCTCACAAATTCAACTGTGGTATAATACCACCACCACCACTTGAAAGCATCTTAAAATCTGCAAATGCTCAGGACATACTGGCTGACATTGTACACCATCAGGAAACTACACAGTCTTTACAATTTCTTAAATATTTTAGAAGCACATGCACACCCATAAAATTATTTTACATATATAAATAAGTATAAAACATCACATCAGTATATAATTGAAGCTATTAAAAAGTGAGCCCACTTCTGTCTTGCAAAATTGCATTGTCATGATCAGTTGCCAAATCTATTGGCAATAATAAACTGTTAATCAATTCATAACAGCATATTGCACCACTCAATTACTTACATAAAAAAATCAGTAATGTGTATTTGCTGGCATGAAATTCTCCTGCAGAATAATAGTACCACAGAATTTACTGATCAATTTACACACATCACTGGATATGAATTTACAAACATTTAAATAAGTATTCTGCACCAAGTGCAATTCCATCATTCTCCTTACTGTAGTAGCAAATTCTTACTTTAAATATAAATAAATGATGACTAAAGGACAAAATATGCTATGACGCTGTAACTTCCACAGAGGTATTTCTTATGAAACCAAGTGTAATAAGCATGCTCAAAACTATTTGACACCACGTTTTGTCTTTGTTTTCACTTGGTTTATGAGACACAAAATAAAATAGACATTCTGGTTTATATGGTAACCAAATATGTAGTGACAGTGAATAAGAACTTCCACTACAGAGAAAATGTTCTCATACATATACCAAATTCACTGCCTAATTATGCATTCAAAAATCAATCTTCTGCAATGCAAGATTTACTGCAATAACAGCATTACATATTCAAATAAATTCTTATGATGAATTTTGTCAAATATTTAAATATGGTATTTGAATTCAACACTGCAGGCATTTCTACTTTCTCTATGGGACTTAGCAATTGCAACACACCAACCACTTTCCTTTATAGTGAGTTAAGTACAGAATTTCATCTGTTTTTTGAAGAGGCATGAATATCACAGGACATCTACTGCTTGAAAACTTTTTTTATACTTTTATCATGAATTTAAAGTAATTTACATTATATACATTTAACCAGAATGGTTAATAATCAACCTGCTTTGACATTATGACCAGGCAGTGAATTTATGTATTCCATTTTTTTCTCTAAACATTAACCAACTGTTTTTGTAACTCTTATTCCTGCTTTCCAAGGAGAGGAACTGAAATTTTAAATATTATTCAAATGAGCATATTAAAGAGTTGAACTGTCACATACTATACTAATCACTTGATTAACAGAAATGGACAATATCTGAAAGACTGCAGTTCCACCATTCAGTCATTTTTAAGAAAAAGCCACAGAAAAAGTTTTTAAAACAACTTTTCCAGTCAAGTCTTTCTTTTTCATCTTAAACAATGAGTTCTGACAACTGCAGATGAACGTGGTCACTTGGAAGACCTAAAAGGCAAATCTTAAGGAGAGAGGTTGTGAGGACATGAGATGGATGGAATTTGCTGCTGATCAAGCCGAAAGGCAGCCCTTGATACAAGCAGAGTAGAACATCTGGGTTCTACAATCAAATTGTTGTTTGAAATAGCAAAATGGTGATGTTCTAACCAATAGCAATCATTCCCACATAGAACATGATACACCATGTGGTTCAATTTGTACATAAATCAAATACATTTTCCACAGACTTAAAATGACAGAATTAATAGAAGTCAGTTCATTCAGAGCAGTGCAATGTGAAATGTGTCCCTCATGAGGTGATGTTTCATTCTATAACATTGGGCTAATGAGAGAGAGAGAGAGAGAAAAAAAAGCAACTGCTTCAACAGTACCAACTTTATCTGGATAGAATGACTATAGGACCAAGTTAGAAAACCTTGACCACTTATATTTCTGAGTTGGTATCTAATGTTTTACACAAAACAAATGCATTACACATTTTAGCGATTAAGGTATAGCTAACAACACAATAAATATGCACACACAAGTGGCCAGCTTCATGGTCCAAATGCTTTATACTTTGGGAAACAGTTCCTTGTACCCCTTTAAAACAAGGCTAGGTAGTTTTTAGAACTGTTTTTAATGTTGCGATAAAGACAAAAATTACAAACATCCTATCTAGACACTGCAAATATAAAATAAACACATTAGAACTTTTAAAAACAAATATTATAAAAAAATTTAAGCACAATTATAACCTGTATCTCACAGCTTTCCACAAAAGTTCTGTTATTGTTCCAACAACTGTTTGCACATAATAATTACGGTGATAAATTATACATGACACATTTACAAGCAGAAGCCAGTTACTACAAAGCTTTCACTTTTCATTCACAGTTTTATAAAGCTGGGCTTAAAACTTGTAACAACAGACAAAACGTCTATCTGTAAAGTAAATCAATATTTAAACCTTCCAACATTCTCAAACACGTTCAATGCAAAAGACAATGAAACTGGCCACTCCTGAAAGTCTATCAATTGCCAAAGTTGGGCACTTCTTTAGTCAGCCATCAAGAAAGTGTTTTTCATTATTAATCCTTTGTAAGCTGGCCAACCTGTAGGTATAGGTACTTACTTTGAAAAACGTCTATGTTATACTGTATTCTGACAAGCTGACAGTGTTTTCTACATTTCAATATGCAAAACTGACGTACACAAATCTTCCTACTAAAACTACAGAGGATGTTCCTTTCACTTTCACCAAAAGTTAGCCACTTCTGCTGTCTGTCAAAGGAGCCAACATATTGAATAAGGTTAATGATGGACTGCTTTAATTATGTAGAAAAATACCCGAATTAGGTTCTAACAACAAAGAGAGCAAGGAAGAAGGAATCAGTTCCTTCAATCAGGAAGAATAATGTCATCTGGTAACTAAGGGATGATTCCTTACAAGTTGACAGATTTCTAGTAGGATTCACTGTAATGTGAAATACATATGGCACAGAAAAACAGAACCTGTTAAAACTATGACCTATGCCTGGCTTCTGTCCCTGATAAAGGTAGCATACACCAAGAAATAACATCTACCACTGCTGGTAGATCATTAGCATTCCACAATGAAATGTCTTATAAATGGTTAGCAATACAAGATACTTAAGGAAGGCCCAGCTGAACCTCAGACTGTTGTTCTTTCTTCCTGTGTCCAAAGTATGGAACTTGAGTATTCTAAAGCATGGAACACTTCCTCTGGCGTCTCTTTTGGGGCTCAGGCCGTAAAACTGCACGCACAGCTTCATCAAATACCTGCCAAACAAAAGAAAGATTTTGGTTTTAAGAGGGCAAGTTGCAAAAATGGAGCTAGCAAATCCCATAATTACCTGAATGTCATGTGCATATTTTTAAGAAAAATGTGTTTTGAAAATCAGTGTGCATGTCATATTTTAAGAATTATATGTCTGGTGCCTGCAGTCTTTGCTCAAACAGATATACAAGAAATTGTATTTTATTTGTTGATGAACCAACCACACTGCAGATCAGAGAAAATGCTAAAAAAAAAAAACCCAAATATTTTCATTAAATTATAACTATGATGTGAAAAGGAAAGATATCAGCACAACATGCTGTGATATGCTAGAACTGACAACAAACAATTTCACGAAACATCACAATAAAATATATGTTAGATAACAAATTAAACTAAACAAGACATTGTACTTTTCCATAAACTGACAACCTTCATCTCAATTAATACATCACAAGTGTGCAGCCTGTAATAGTATACTGGACAAAAATGCTACATATTCTATGAGCCAGGTTTTATAATTCTTCACAGCAAATGATACACTATTTAGTATTTCCAATCTTTTACTCTTGTACAATTTAATACAACATCTAAGGATCAGGTCAGATATATTGCTACTAAAATACATATTAAAGAAACACGTATTAACATCAGTAATGAGTAACAATACATTGTAAAAAAATTAAGCCTGTTTACAATTTCATATACACATTTCAAATTTTGTACAGTTGCAACATTTTACTACAGAAAATTAATAAAATATGGCAGCTCTGGTGATGAACCTAAGACAACAAATATAAATTCATATTGTGCAAGGTTTAAACATCTTAGTTCATTTATTCCTTTACAGATGCCAGTGTATTGCTCATAACTGATGTGTTAAGCAAATGGGGTGACTGGAGAAACTGAGGAAAACAAAGAAAAATTGCAATCAAACAGACAGTCTCTGGGGCAAGATCTGACTGGTACATTTTGAATACACAGTAAGAGTGCTAACCATTAATCTGGTTCTATAATTTATAAATTGGCAATTTTATGTAATGACTGTGAATGGTGACTCAAGATATGGCTGGAAAAAGACTTGGTCTGTTCTCAATTAATATCCCAACATTCACCTTGAGTGAGTGAAAAACGCATAAAAATCTCGGGATATCCATTTCCAGAGCGAGGTTCAAACTGGGAACCTTATAAATGGAAGTCATGTGTCACCACTGCATGACCTTACCTGCTTCAGTCCTCTTTGTGTGAGGGCAGAACACTCCATGTACTTTACTGCTCTTACTTTGTTTGCTAACTTCTGACCCTGTTCCCGTTTTATTGGCGAGAGGCCTTGCTCAGCAAGAGTTGTCAACGTCTCTCGGTCATCACGCAGATCTATCTTCGTTCCTGCAATTAAACAAAATAATGCACCATTAGTAATAAACAAAATTTTATTTAAACATCAATTTTAACCTCAGAAGCAACAACTGATAATTGTTCTACTGCAGACTGTTCCAAAAGGGCATTTTCTGATTTTTCATCAGTTACTTAGAGTCATATTTTCCAAAATCTTTCTGTTATTTACCACTTCAGGACCTTACATTACTGCTTCGATTGTGGTGTTAATAACAAAGAATTGTTAAATGATGACAGTAAAAGAAAGTCATTCACACACAGGTTACATTTGGGTTATTAGAAACAGAACTGATTAAATCAGAAACTATATCAACATAAGTAACATCACATGTTTCTGCACATAAGTTTAGACCAGTTTTATTCCTATGGTTTCTTTGCAATTTACTAAAGCAACAAGAAATATGGAGGATGAGGGACAACTGTTTCCTTACCTACTAATATCATGGGGGCATCTGGGCAATGGTGTTTGATTTCAGGATACCATTTCGATGTAACATTTTCAAAAGATGATGGACTAGTCACACTGAAGCAGATCAAAAACACGTCCGTCTGGAAATGTTACACACTGCATATAAGAGACTGTGAACCTTTGTGCACAAACTTGTTACAATCTCACATTACAAAACTGATATTAAATTCTTGTTATACCAGAAAAATGTTTAAAGAGAGAGAGGAACTCATTCTGTTCAATTCTCGACTCCAAGCAGGAACTACAATAACAAAGCTAAATTCATTTTATTATTTTTATAGAGCAATACTTGACTCACTGCAAAACCTTTCAGCAGCTTGGCAATGAGTCATGGAATTCCAACCAGAAGATAGGAAGTGACAGCTGCATTCAACTTCATCAGTGAACACACTCTATGTAGATTTAAATCTCCTATCCCCACATAAATAAAATAAATAAGGTAAGAGTTTGGAAGGAAATGAACATCACCAATTTCAAGATACTAGCCTAAATCAACTGAAGGAAATGATAGAAATCATTAAAAATCTCAAGATAGTTGTACGATAGCCAAGATTCAAACTAAGTACCACCCAAAAACAAGTAGGAACTGTTATTATTACTCCAACCCATTCAATATTGTGTGGACTGACCACTGGTTCTGCAAGCAATGAAAACTAAGGAACCAACAAACTGAACTTATATATATATATATATTCTAATGTTACCATAATTCATAATTTGGTATGACACATTTTATTCTAGGACAATATACTTCCTCTGGAGGCACAGAAAATGAGGACAATAAAAACCAATTGAAGGGACTGGAGGCCAAGTGAAAGATTTACAAAATAAAGCAAAGCAGACAAAGAACAGGCAGGTATAGAACAAGAGGGCATGTGGGAGGCCAGAAAAATGGAGAATGCTCTGTCGTAAGAGAAAAGAGGAGACACATGCAGCAGTGCTTATGGAACGACAGAAATAACCTTGTAAGGCTTTGTCATTGGCCAACCTACCTTGGCAGAATTGTCAACGGATGATACTTAAATAACATCTTAACAATATGGTGACAAGCATGTATGTGTTCTTTACCTGCATATTGTTTTCATGTCATTACATTTACTGACAAATGACTGTAGTTGTACTACGAAAGTCTGAAAAAAGTATTTTTCTTTCTGTTCTGTAAGGTTCTCAATTATATCAATAAAAGACTATTCCTTTAATTTTTTTACTTTCCTACTATGATGTTTCTTGAACAATACTGGCACTAAGTATATTTTCAAAGTGTAAACAGTTTTGTATGTATGTATGATTGTATATAACAATATATTGCCCAGTATGCAAAATTTAAGAATACAGGTTACCTGAGGATAAGAAAGAGGACGCAATCTGTCATAGTCTTCCTGTCCTGCTGTATCCCAAAGGCCGAGACTTACCGGAATACCATCCACGACCATAGGAGCTGAATAGTTATCAAATCTGAAATCATTAGAATAATTCAGTAATGAAAATAGTATACTGAATCAGACTGTAGTTTCAATAGTCAGTCTCTGCCTATATCAAGGTGCACACATACATAAACTTTTTAATATAACAGTTGGATAGGTGGTACACCACCAGCTTATGAGATGGTTCAAAAGACAACATATATTCAAATAGGCCACTTGTAAATCACTTATAGTTGAAGCAAAAAATGTTTCAACTTCTAAACTCATAACAAATAGGTTTCCTAGGAAAGACCATAATTAAGTGATTTATTAACGAGGACTAATAATCATACATTTGTAAACATATCCAATGTTCCAACATTAGTTTTAAGCTGTGTCATGACAAGAATGTAACAAGCTAAATACAGTGTATTAAAATACTATGAGAAATGATGGGTCAAGATCATGGGAGAATATAATATGAAAATCACAACTACAAAGACAATGATTCTGGTATTCCAAGGTAACCAAGTCACCAGTAACAGACAAGACTGTTAACAAACCAATCAAACAAGTACATTTAAACACTTGGGAATATAAAAACATCTTCAACGGCTTTAATAAGTCATTTTCAATATACATATGGCACAACCAAAAAAAAAATAAGAATCTTAGGTGGCAAAGGAAGAACATAGTTACATAGATCAAAGTGCTAAACAAAAACCAAATTTAACTGAAACAGTTAAAACAAGCCTCCTAAGGTTTGCTGCTAGTTACTGGCGAACAGACCATGTCAGAAACAAAGCATGAACATATTTAACCTCCTAGATTAAATAGCTGAATACCAAAGGAATTCAAACTATCACTTGGAAAGAATGGATGAGAGAAGATTCGCTAAAAGAGTTCACAAGTATATACCTAGAGGTAAAAGACAAAGAAGTAAAGCATAAAAATAATGCAAGGACAAATTCTGAGTTGAATCTTAGAGCTGAAATAGTCTACTAAGACTAATCCTTAAATTTGTCAATGATAAGTATAACAAGTTTTAAAAAATCTTAAACAATTAACCAAAGAATTTTATACACTGGAATATAATATGGTTCTTGATTATTTTTTTTTTTTTTGGGGGGGGGAGGGGGCACAGAGACATGGGTGCAGTCCAAAGTTATGAGCTTCAGCTTGGCTCTCAGCTGGTCCCAGAGTAAATGTAGTTTCGTTCAGTCACATAATGACGTCAAAATCATACTTACACAGTAGGGACATACTCTCCTGGAAAACTGTCTGTTGTATATGAGATCAGCATACAAGTCTTTCCTACTGTTCCATCTCCAACAACAACACACTTTATAGGTCGACCTGATGACATGCTGTAATCAATGGTGCAAATGCCAAGAAGAAACCTAGAATAGAAAAAAACTTCGTCTTATAGAAGTAGACTACAAATTTCGTACCTCTTTCTCGTAATCGGGATATGGAAAACATGTTGGCGGCAAGTTAAGAATGTCACAAGAATAGGAATCAAGCTTCCCAAGATACGTCAGCTGTTCCCTCACAAATTTTCCTTTTTACACATGTTTTCTGTCTGAATTATTAACTTCGACAAATTTCACGGAAGTGTTAGCATATCCGTTTAAATAAATATTTTTAAAAACACCGACATAAAACGCAAGACGCTATGAAAGTAATCTGAGGCAAATAATCATATGTACCTGTTTTTTACACACATTAACTTTACTTACACTAAACTGTTATACACCTATAAGTTAAAAATTCCTGAATGAGTAATTTTAATTGTGAATCGTACACAACCTACATCAATTTCTCCTTTCACCTCGCCTCACACCACCATCTTCAATATGACTGCTTTTGTAGAGAAGACTGTACATAGATTAATACCAACATCGAGACGGAATCACTTGGTCAGAGATTACGAACGATCGGTATTGTCTTTGAACACAATGTGCTCTGGGTTGAACGACATAATAATGCACAGAGTATTCAGCTTAATCATCCAGTTGTAATAATAATGTGTAGAATGCTTTTAGAAAGAGTATTATTATTATTTATAGTTTTATCATCAACCCACTTTAAACATTTACACCTTAAAACTAATTTTTAGATTCGTAAGTTTCTTCATAAAATGCAAACTCGCTCAGCATATTGGCAGCTATGATTTTATATTTGTAGTTAAGGTGCTTTTATCTGTCTTTGGCGTGTTGGTAACTTACATGGCAGATGAGAATAATTCTTAATGCATAATTATGTTTTTACGAGTTACCAAGTATGGTCATCCCCACTTAATGGTACCTGCACCTTGTCGTGGTGGTGGGGCTCGAGTACCTCAGTGACCCCAAGAGCTATGTGGGCAGTAGCATAGCTAATGGTAGGGCCTCCCTAGCCAGATAGGTTGAGAGGGAGAGGTCAGACTAAGACAGGTACCCTGGTCCTCCAGTTTGGGGGTTGTTCGCAAGGCTAACAACCTTGCACCGTAAAAAGAAAGATGTTTTGAAACCTCAATCAAGGCCTTAGACAGGATGGACCTAACAATTGGACCGAATGGTAGAAAAGAATTGCGGAGGCCATGGACCGAATATGGACTGGAGAGCCATAGAAGAAGAGGTATGATCATAGGTTCTTATTCTATGTCAGCAGATATCAAGAGTCCTGCACGATATTAATTTGCCCCATTAGTTGATAGGGCAGCCTCATTGAACAACTGAACAGCAACCTTCCTGTGCAGCTCCATTTGACCTGCACACACGAGTCCTCCTCTAATCCTCGACTCTCTCCACATTAGCCACAATGATTATAGTTTCACAGTACACCACTTACAGAGATTCAAACATGGGTATTCTTTTATGATACCTGTAATTGACAGGTAAAATGCTGCATGGAACTATCTATAAATGAGCAAAAAAGTTGACAGTGGGACCACGGTTCCGGGAATCTGATGTAAATACGTCTCTGTAATGTAATGAAATGTAATGTAATAATTCTTATATAATATAAGTACTTGTGATATTCTAAAACGTTTTTAACAGCACAAAATTATCTAGTCTACGACACACTTCTTCTACAACCGATTCACAGCTCTTTCCGCAATAACGAAAGCGGACTGTTGACGGCAGTAATGTAACACAACAATGCTGAGTAAACAGATGACGTTTCTTAGGTAACATAACAATGCACGCAAGCTGACCATTGTTGTCGGTCCATATTTACACATTTTTGATATGGATCTTACACATTTTACTTTTACTTTTTTGCCGAATGACCCTTCCGTAAAGACATATTTACATCAAAACATCAGATGATGTTACAACAAAACAACAATGATGGTTCCTTTGTCAGGTCAACTTCAGCAAAGTCAGAACTTAAGACCTGACCAGTTCATGGCATCATCATCCTTCTCCAGTGACATTTCCGTAAGGGTCGGTTTGTACTATGACAAAGCCTTCTCCATGTTTCTCTGCCATCCCATAAGCACTCTTTTGTATGTCCAAGCTTTTCCTACTTTCATTTATATATTTTCCATCAGTTGGTCTGTCCATCTTGTCCTCAGTTTCCCTGTTGATTGTTTATTCTGTATCCTAAAATTTTGATGTTGCTACAGGAACACTGCTGGCAATCATATATAACATGTCCATTCAACTCTATCTGAAATTTTACTAACTTTTCTTGTGGTGTGTCTACATTCAGATGTTCATTTTTCAAACACCACAGAAACTTCATCTTTATTGCTCTTCTCTTAAATGCATAGTGTGTACAGAAATTTGAATTTTATTTCCTGAAAAAGACAAATTTCTTTCATCTGCAACTTCACAGATTTACCTGTTACTTTGAGGGTTAAAACAAGAGCAAGAATGACTATCTGAAAATCAGGAAAAATGCATAAAACTGTCTCATCAGAAGTTGTCTTCATCACTTGACTGTGTATTGTACCCAAGCTGCTCATGCCACCACTCTCTGACCTCCAGCAAAACATTTGAAACTTTAGGCATTGCTGTCTTGTTAGCAGAAATGTCTCGCATCAGACGACTACTTTCAGGTCCTTCTGTCAAGTGGGGCAAGTTATTCTTGCTACCAGCTGCAATAAAAACCAGTGAAGTTATTATAAATCATAATCATACATATTTCCTAACAAACATTCAAGCACTCAATAGGAGGAACAGGTTCAAGAAAACATTATCAGAAAATTCTGCAGATGTGAAGAGTTATTAATCTTAAACAACAAGGTCCTAGAAGAATTTACACATCAATTAGCTGAATTTTGAAACTTGTATGCCAAAGTATTCACTACAAGTGAAATGTGTATGTATACTGACTTTGTGGTCTGTTGTTCCTCTTTTTGACACCAGCTCGCTCCTTGTCTGTTCGAACTGCTGGATCAGACAGTGTAGGGGCTAGATACTTCCTTCCAGACCCACTACCCACACTGTCAGAACGAGGAATCACTACACCTTTAATATTTGAACGCATTCGCACACCTTCAGCATCCTAAGAACATAAACAATTGACTTTATTGATAATATACAGCAATCTTCCTTGTGGTAAGAGAACACAGTGGATGACACACACAGTAAGACCTTTTCTTTTAACATTGATAGTGGGAAGACAGTGGTCTGCTTGTTTGCGTATCATAATAGCCAGCAGCAGCACAAGAAAATTATTTTTGTGGCATATAAGCTTGTAGTTCATTTTTATGTTCATAAATATCAGTAGCTTATTGTTAGATACAACAATGTTAGGCATCATAACAAACAAAACTACCACAACATATTAAACAGAAACAAATGTTAAAAGGAAATTCAGAGGAGATAAACACTGCTTCGCCTTTCTGAGTACAGCAATTTCCCCCCAGCTGCAAAGGTTACATTCCAGAAAAGCAACGAGATTGGTGAAACCAAGGCCTTATGGGAAATTGGGTGCTGGGGATATCTGGTCACCATTAACACTCATCAATACCTAACATGTTTAAAAATAATATTAAAAAAGTGTCACAAAAAGACACACTACAATGGTGATCATGAAGCTATAAAGCTGGTTCCAGATATCATTAGCACGTTGCTCCCAATAAATGTGGATCTCTTGGACGAATTCATAATCAAGAAATGCAGAAACACAAACCCAAACACCATGGTTGACAAAGGACTGCTTTATTAAGGCAGCAAATTTCAGATTCTCAAACATTACAAGACATGCAGAAAAGTGAGAAGTAAAATTACAATCATCTGCCACATGGATTGCATGTTAATTTAAGTAAAATAAAGTGCTGTGTTACAGTAGGCACCAAGCTGCCCAGATGTGAACATGTTTTCAGTAGAATTTCATTGTAATATGAGTTACTACTAATAACTTACCTTAGGTTCTCCCTCACTCTCCCTGTCAATGCTGTTGTCTTTGAGTTTATCTTCAGGATGATCCTGTATAGTCAGCAATTCATTGGTCGCCCTCAGTCCTGCAATAAGACTGTTCTGCTGCTTCTGAAATGCACATGAAACAGGCCTCATATACATATAATTTGACATCCAAATATTTTATTGTAGCTGTAGTTTGAATGTACTTAGTTTAGCTTAAACCAGCCTACAGTTATACTTACACTAGTTGCCCGTATCTTTTTCAAACAGCCTTCCAGCCAAGTCCTGATTGTTTGCTTTGCTACCTCCTCCTCAATGATATATTCAAATTCTTCTCGAGCTAATAATTCTTCCAGCTGAAGAGCTTTACGTATGTCTACTGATCGATATGACAACATGCTAGAATCACACAAGATGAAATTTAAAGATCTGATGATCCCCAGTAAAAATATTTATACATAATAAACAATTATTTTAACCATTTCAAAGACAACCAAATATGTATTTGGTTGCCTGCACTGTCTGCATTGTGATAGCCAGGCATGTACTCAGGCCATTATGTACATGATTATGTTCCTGCCATCATGGCACAGTGCAGAAGTATAGCAGAGAGAGTTGTAAAAACCAGATGAACAGAACTGCCCCCACTACTAAATAAAAAATAAATCAAAGATATTTAAATATGGAATTAAATTATTCAAATTAACAAAGCAAATCAACTGCTATAAATAATAAAATAAACCCAACAGATTTATTTTTAACTCGCCAAAGTGCAATGCTGAATAGATTATCAAAATACTGAATCTTGATGGGCACTTTATAATAGCTACTCTGTTAAAATATGACAATACATTATACTCACTTGAGGACATCATGAAATGTAACATCTTCTCCATTGTGCAAACGATCTAGTTCATAACACATGTGCTTGAAAAGAAGTCTGTCCTTCTGAGGATCAACTTCAAGTCTTCCCTTCAGGAGACGAAGGATAAATTTAACCTGGAAGAAACACATTTCAGTGTTCCTGAGCCTGTACTTATTCCAAATAAAATCTTACATTAATAAAGGATCATAACAATCAATTTATAGTTTCAGGAAAACCATGACAACTTAGGACAAGTTCCTAATTAGGAATCAAAGTGGATACCTCGAGAATGTGGTATATTACTGCTGTGGCAACCAGCTGCTATATATTGAACTGGACTTCTTGATTTTCAAATGATCATTCAACATTGTTTTTCTGCAGGGCTAGTGGATACAGCCCCCAGTGTGACAAAAATCTTTCACTCCAACCAGAATTGAAATATAGTAGCTTATTAAATATATGTTTGTCTAACATACTTGTAAATATGACAAATATCATTCTCTTTGACTGGAAGTAATCTGCTCAGTACTTACCCTTCGAACAGGAATGACACCACGCTGATGGATATCCACAACATTCCATGTGTTTTGGAAATTTCGAATGTCAGCATATGAAAGCAAAGCATCTTCTTCATTGGAGTAAAACAACGAAAAGTTTTCCATAATGATGGCTAACAAACAGATGAAACAATATTAATGTAATCACAAGATATATTGCAGAGCCATGAAGATTTATAAGACCATAACGCAGATGTTTACCAGGAAAAGCAACTATATTTAACAGATTTAAAGAAACTCACCAACTAAGAGATTCAGGACAATATATGTAATGATGACATAAAAGGAGCAGAAGTATATAAGAGAAGCTGTGAAGTTGCCACAGTCTGTTTCCCAATAGTTATTTGCTGGTGTGCAGTATGGGGGCTGGACCATGCAGTCATGCATGATCTTGTTCCAGTCTTCTCCCGTTACAATTCGGAACAGCATGGCAACCCCAGTTACAGGGGACTCAAAGTTTGCTCGCCTGAAATACATTATCTCAGATCTCACAACTGTGGTGTAATATGAAAATGTATTTGCAACAAATTCAGATAAATATATGTACTTAAGCAATTA